AGAATCAGAGCCTTACCACAAAAAAATTGTGAATGCATTCAATTTGGCAAGTCAGACAATTTCTCCTGTCAGAATAAAGCGAGAACATTACTTTTGATCAGCCATGTAGGAATCTGAACCTTACAACAAAAAATTGTGAATGCATTCAATTTGGCAAGTCGGACAATTTTTCCTGCGAGAAGCGAGCGAGAACTTAACTTTTGATCAGTTTTGAAATTAACTCTAATAATTGTCCTATAAAAACGCTGCCATTTCTATTGGAAAGATTTCACTGTAAACTGAACTAAATTTACAAATAATGTTCTTATCTTTGTGTCCTCTCATCTAGTTTATGTAAAGTTGACTTGTTCCTGGCTGAATTCTTCCTTTCCTTGTTGTTCACTGACTTTGCTCTCTTCTCTGAAAGTAGAATAGCTAAAAATGTAAGAAACAAATCCAAGTGTGCAAACGTTGATCAACAATAACTATAAATTCGTACAAATGTAATATTTCCCCATTTCTCAACGGAATTATTTATCATCTTGAAACAACTTGGACGAACGAAAAACGCTCAAGAACTTGTTTTAATTAAGTAGTCAAAGGAAAACTTGCGCTAATCACGAATGAAAGTCAAACTATTTTCAATCAACGAAAAAAATAACTTCAACAAACCGTCTCGAATGATTCAAGTGTTATTTCATTACAAGTTTTAGTCCTGGCTTAGTCATGAGGCGTTTTGAGCTTCGACGCGAAACGTAAACCGAGTTATCAAACGCACGTGGTGAGATTTGGAGAAACATTTGTTAGAATACTTCGCCCCAATTTGAATTAAAATGCCAGGAAATAGAAACTTACCATAGATTTTAATTTACACAATGTGAAACTATTTTTCCTCCAAAAGCCTTCAGCAAATCGTCTTCAAAGTTTCTTCTCGTGAAGGAGGGAACGATACACATCCTACCAGTCCGCGAACATCTCTGAATAACAAACAAACACCTCACATCAGCAAGATTCATCATGAATATGGAAAATAAGATTGAACCAATGGTGAACAAGTACGTCACGAATTTTAGTCACCGCACGCTTTTTCCCGCCGTTTTTCTCAATGTACTACCGCCTCTCTGGAATCTTAATTATTATTTATTTCTGCGCTTGGGAAATGTTGTGAATCGTTGTCTAATGAACCAATGGTGTGACTTGTTCTGTGAGGTTCCAGGCGGCCCAAATTTCTGCATTCGCTTTCAGCATGGAAACCGCCCAAAAAATACAATAGACCATTTAATTTTAACCTCGTTCCAAGGCCCGGCGAAGAAAACAGAGTTAGGATTTTAATCGCTTTGAAATCAGAAGACAGAATTAAAAAATATAATTTTGAAAACAGCCTTTTTGGTCCTTTTTAATAAAAGCGTGTCCAAACTGGACTACCTTTTTGACTTAATCGTGTTGACTTTGAGAAAAATAGACATAATTCCGAGATAAAAAATAAATGTCTTCGATCGGTGAAAAGTCATATAATTACAGTTCAACCGTTATCAAACGGCCACCCTCGAGGAATTGGATAGCAGCCGCTTAATAGAGGTAAAAATCTAATAGGGGTGACCATTTAATAAGTGACGGGTTCGACTTTTTGAGGACTGAAGGAAACAGGAATTGGCGTTCATATTTGTCACACGATCTGCACGGGCCAGGAAACCGGAGCGGACTTTAGCAAGAGCTTAGTTTCTTCCACGCGTTCAGTTAGTTGGGGCGCAGAGCGAGAAAAGGAAAGAGAGGCTTGGTAAGAAGAGGGAACAAAGCGTTCTCTTATTCTCTCGCCTTCCCGCCCCACCCTTCTCCCCACTTTTTCGTGGGCCATTTTTCGCGCTGCGCCCTAACTGACTGAACGCCTGGAAGAGGCTAGCAAGAGCCCACTGTCTAAGGGCCTGTTTACAAGGAGAGAGGGTTACCCTAGCACTCACACATTTCCTCTTTTTTTCTTCATCGTGTTTACAAGGCAGCTAGGGTTACCCGGGTAGGCGGGTTACCCTATCTACGTGCTAGCCCTGGCAGGCGGGTTAACTTTTTCCCTTGTATACACTCCAGGTAGGGTTAACCCGCCTACCCGGGTTAACTTTCTAATTGTTTCCAGACCCTTTGAGTGTAACCGCGCATTAACTTGTTCCGGGTTGTAGGGTTACCCTACCTGTGAAATTTTGCATATAAACCTGGGCTATCTTTTGCCCTCCAGCTAGGGTTAACCCGCTTGCTACGGTAACCCTCCCTCCTTGTAAACAGGTCCTAAAGGATTCTGTCGATATGATGCTTTTTACGAGGGTTAGAGGGTGGGAGGGCGAGAGTGAACCCGAGACCTCCAGCTACATAGTCTCACTGGCCCTTCCCAAGCAGACCATTTATAGACTGGAACTAGCTTGCAACTGAGGCTGTCGCGGGAAGTCTTTTTTAATACAAATTACACTGGTCTCTTTTATATTCGTCCGCATGGAGGAACAAAGTACTTCAGCCACTCTGCATGGGTAATGCACGAGAAACGAACGAAGGTACAACTAGCAAGAACGGACGGGTAACACAAGGGAACGCACATGGAAAGTACGGGGAATACAGAGGGACACATGACAAAGCAGGGGAGAAAGTAATAAAATTGCACGACGATACGAATGGAGAACAGACAGCAAACACGCACAAAACGCGGCAAAATCCCCGATAGCGGTACAGAGGGCACATGGCGGACTGGTAACTAGCAAATCAGAAACGCAAGGGAACGCATAAGGAATGCTCAGAAAACGCAGTTGAATACGCATTCCTGCGAGACACAAGGCCTGCATGGGGAGCATGTTGGATTTTGGTGCACATAAGAGGAAGTACACAAGGGAACTCACAGGGAACCCATGACAGTGGGATGGGTTAACCTTTAACAAATGTACAGAAAAAGTGGGGGGGGGGGGGGAACCCACCAGGTACCCACAACGCATGGGCTGGGTGTTAGCTCAAGATTAGCTCAGTAAATACGAACTCAAGATTAGCTGTTAACAGGCAATCAGCAAATTTCAATATATTAAAATTCTAACCTTGCACTGAGGCTTAGGGGAATGACACAAAAGAAATAATATCAGGGTTGAGAGATAATCTCTTTTGTTTTATTCCCCCAAGCCTCAGCACCTAAGTGGGAATTTTAACAAAGTGGAACTGTCTATTCATTTTTTAAGTAAGCAGCCTTAGAGCTGACTCAGACATTCCCTTGTGATTATTTATTATAAAATCAAAGAAATTATATAATTATTCGTACAGGTCATTTGCAATATTTTATTGCTAAAAATGTTTTCTTACATATTTACATACTAGTACAAACTATCACACTATTCATCCCAAATTGTTCTCTTTAATATGAAACGTTGTTTGGATATCTGATCTTAGTTAGCATAGATTTTAATGATGTTATTAAGAGGATAAATCAAGCACTCAAGACAGTGTTTGACCACATTTACAAACACCTCAAAGTTCATCAAAAATAGTCCACTGCATGTCATATTTTCAACTCTCTTCTCAGTGTTTGGAAATGTGGTCAAACACAGTCTTTTGTGTTTGGTATATTACACCATAACTTTTTGCATGCATTGCATGCCCATAACCCTGGGAAGGCAGGGGGTGATTCATGCTGACGTCATTGCTTACATTTTTTCTCATTGGCATACGGCTTTGCGTACAGAAGGAAACATGTTAGATATAAATTGACTCCAGGCAGCTAAAGAGCTAGTGAAACTTAATACATGGTGAAAGTTTTAGCTCTTTGGGTGTAATATTCAACGAGATATTCTCTTTTAAAAACTGTAAAATTTCTGGGTGGCAAAAGAGCTAATGAGCTCATACATTCAGGCGCCTGTGACACAGGCTACGTTATTCTTCGGTTAATGATTTTCTTTTCTTACACCCATTAAATTCTTGCCCTCTCAACCCCCCCACCACCTCCTCCTCGCTCACCCACCCCCACTAAAAAAGTAATGAACCGCTAAATGCTTGGAATAACAATGGCTACACTTTCAAGGAAACATTCAACAAGACGACGATACACCGTTACCTTCCAATAGACGGGTATTCTGAAGTTGCTACATAATGGGAACCTTACCTTTTCTTCCTTTCCTCTTTCAGCTCCTTTACAACCTTTAACTCTTCCATAGAACACAGCTCCGATATCTACTAAGGTTGACCTGCATTTAAGTTATATGCAGTAATACAAAAAGGTGATTAAACAATTCGAAGAAAGTAACCTGCATGAACTTTCCAAGATGAATGAACCGATCCTTGAGTGGAATGCTGGGTAGCATCCGGGAAAAGAGTGAGTGGCAGAGGGGTGGGGTAAGTAGGGGCTAGGGGGATCCTAAAATTACACATAAGTAAAGCGGCCAACTCGAAGGAGGGATCTCTCCCAGTTATTTTCTTTTCCTTTCTTCTTTTCTTTTCCCTTGGATGGCGGATTCATCGGCCGGATCTTTCTGTTTCTAGAACGCTATGGTATTGAATGAGTGACATAAAAGAGCGGGGTTTTTCCCTTCAATCGCCACATGGCTCGCAGCTGTCATAAACTTTAAACAAAAATTGAAACCGAAAATGCATAAATTTGGTGGGTTTCATTACATATTCACTTACTACGTTTAATGCTTTTTCCTTTGTTCAGTTCGATATTTATGGCAAAATATTCGCCAAAGGCGCATTTATCCCAGTTAGAAAAAGGAACATTACGGTATGTCACACAATGTGCGTCACGAAATATTGAGTATAAACTTGAAAAAAGCAAGAAAAATCGTATAATACATCATGAATACTAGTTCTCGGATTTTTGGCACTGAAAATATATATATTCCAAGCTGAGACGATAAAGTAAAAGTCATTGTTGACATAAATGTTTTACCCCGCCGCTGGGCTTTCTCGGAAAAAGGGATTTTTCCCAGCTGTCATAGTTATTTCTATTAAATCACTTCCTTTTTCGTGTGCTTCAGTCAGTTCGATTCTCCCGCTGATCAGTGAAGATGAGTTTCCTTCGAGCCTGTATTTTAGCTTTTCTGGCCGTTTGCGTCCTTAAGAGTTCTCTGGCAACAATTTTCAAACCTCAAAAGGCTCAACAACTTCTCGAATACAACTTCACGACGAAGCAGTTTGTACTTGATTCACGTTGTTTGGTCGAAATATCAAAGCTTCGTGGACCAATTGTTGTTGTAAGCGCCGTTGGAGATGCAAGAATTGGTAAATCGACTACGTTAAACCTTATTCGTCATTTCTGGAACGAAAACAGCCTTCATGCCTTTCAGAAAACCTTCGAGACTGGCGATACAAAGGTTCCTGTCACGCACGGTGTTTGGGCCGCGATAATTCCAGCCAAGACCCCGGATGAGAGTAACGCAATCCTGCTTGATGTGGAAGGTCTTAATCTGGGTGACGATGCGGTCACGACTCATTTAAGCATGTTTACCGCCCTTGTGTCGTCAGCAGTTCACATATTTACTCGTGATACGATGCAAAATCATGTTCTAGATTTTTTGTATTTCATCTCGAGGCTCACTGAAATGATATTCCCCGATGAGAGATTCGACAATTTCCCACACCTGGGTATAATGGTGCGTGGAGCACTTGAAACCCCACCGGGATACACACTGGACGAATATATCCATGATTTTATCCTGAGTTTGGACAACAAGGACAGAATGGAGGAAGAGAGGAAAACGATTGGGAAATATTTCTCGAGGGACAAAATATCCGCAAATCAAATACCGTACGTTCAAGATATTACGATTTTCAAAGACATGCGCAAATTTAGGAACACTGATTTTCATAAAGTGATCTTGTCATTGGTGGAGCAGTTCAAAAAAAGCCCGCAAAAGAAATCTTTGAAGGGCAATCGCTTGATGGATGGGGAATCACTTGCAAGGTTTGTGAAGGAACTATTTCACGCTATGAACAATAATGCTTGGATGGATTTTAACGACGCCTACCTCATGTTGGAAAGACAAATTTGCGCAGACGCTTATGGCAAGATTGTCCGACCTGTTTTGGATAAAATAGCGGGCGAACTTGGTGCTGATATGGAGAATACGATGGCAGAGTTCAAGATTAAGTGCGCTTTACCAGAAGAGGTGGAGACAGCGAAGAAAGAGCTGCTAGCAGCTAGGCAAAGGGCAGCTGAAATTAAAGAGATGAAAGAAAGAGCGGCCGAACAGGAGGAGTTACTAAAGAAGACAACAACAGAAATGAAAATCGCTCATGACAAATGGCAAAAAGATTTGAAAGACAAAGATGAAAAGCTCAGTGAAGAAGTTGAGAAAAGAGAACAATTGCAAATGCTAAATAAAAGATTGGAAGAAGAAACTGCAATGAAGTCACAGCAAATTTCCCAACTTCAATTACAGCAGGCTCAAGCGAGTGCGGGTGGAAGCAGCTTTGAGCGATTTCTCGGCACAGTTTTTGGAACGGCCCTTGGAAGCTATTTCTTCGGTAGCCCAGCTGGACCACTTAGCGTAGGTCTACAATGTAGTGCAGATCTTCCTCGTCTTTCAAATGAAGAATGAAACCTGAGGAACAATAGAGGAGTTCACGCTCTAAGGGGCATTATGGGTAATCAGGGCAAAAAAAGTCATAAAACAAATGTTTATCTTTGTGTTTGCGTCCTGATTTCACATTTGGAGATGAAACATGTTCTGTAGACGCAAAAACCCCTTTTCTAGGTTATTAGCGTTTTTGAGCCGAGCGTGTGATTGTTGTGGGCGTACGAATTTTTTTTTTACTGTTAAAACCGAATGATTTGATCAAGTCGCCACAAAAATAACATCTCCGTTACTCTGATAAGTAGGCTAATGCCTAGCTCAATCGACTCAAAAACGCTAGTAAATGTAGAAAAGAGGTTTCTCTATTTACAGTAAAAGTTTCTTCTCGAAAATTAAACTCGGAACGGAAATATGAAGAAAAACGTATATTTTGTCGCTTTGTTTCTTTGCAATTTTTCTTTGCTTTGTTTCTTTGCAATTTTGCCCTGATTACCCATAATGCCTTTTAGAGCGTGAACTTCTCCATTACAGTGTCTGGGATTTTCTTGACATTCTTTAAGACCTTTTTTCCATATGTTTTAATCTCATTCAACCCGAATGCTACATGTGAAATGTATTAGTTGATTGATTAAAAAAAGTTCAAGTTCGTTCTGGAGACAGTAGAAGAATAACTACCTTGTTAATGTGCTACTGTTAATTCACAAAACTACCTTCTGTCCCCATAGTCTCCGGTGAAGTTTCAATGAACTTGTAGTGCCACCAGAGCTTGGAACATTCATTTTATGACGTTACATCGGTTGTGCTGAATAGGCATGCTAACCATCCCATACATGGGTACTAGTGTTAGCTGCTTGTTGTTACAGAAACTTTTATCTAGCTCCCGAACTTGGTTAGCTAACGCAAATCCCAATATACCCCAAAATATCATTACGTGTCATTGGTGGATCTAGGTGAGGGGCAGGGCAAGCAAAACAATCCCCCCAACCCCCCCTCCCCCCGCTTAGCTCAAGGTCTGGATCCTCTAATGCGTGTCCTCTCAATCATTGTGACGATGCAAATATATGTGGTCATAATGTTCTTGTTCCGTCCTCTGTTATGACAAATGAAACTAAACTAAAAAAAAAAAACGGTTTTAATAAGTACAACTAATTAATTTAGTGTTTCTGATACACAAGGAGTGTTCGATTTTGGAAAGACGATCTGGTGCCACCGTGTGATAACAATAGCCAGTATTCTTTTAGAAATTCAGAGTTTGTCTTACCTAGGTCTCGAACAGTAGCATAGGACAAACAGGAGGCTCCCTCTACTATTTGTTATATTATTTGTCTTCTTTACCTATAATAGAAATGTTTTCGGCTGAGCAAAGCAAAATAGAATAGAAAATCTATTTAGGTCACGTTGTTTTGTCAAAACTTAGTCACTTTATAAAATATCTTGAACCGTAGGCATTCTTAAGAGGTGTGCTGAAGAAGTCGAGTTTTCTCAATATTTGTTAAGACTTTTTTTCTATGTAACAACTAGTTACTGATGCTATTATTTTATCTATTCTTACATTTTATATTTTACCATTTGTGCAATATTATATGATTGTTGTAATGTAGTTATAATTAGGTGTCCTCAATTACCGTAACTGAACAGTGCGCTAAATGATTTGACACAATAATATAGTTGTTCTTATTATTTTGATTATTCTGTGAGCCAGTTCTTTGTTTTCTTAATCTTGACTTTGCTACTTTACTCAATTGTCTGTTCAACTTTGAAATAATATGGGTCCTCTAGGTCAGCGGTATCTTGTTGTTTGTCATGCTCTCCAACCAACACCAAGTATCCGCAGTCATATTCAGGGACATTCTCCATCTTAATATGAAGTCAAATAAGATAAAAATTAGATCATAGAAAAAGTTTTGGGTGACCCTAGTCTTAAGCAAATTATATAGAGATGAGCGATTTCAATTGACTGCTCAACAGCTGAAAGTACAATGCACTTGGGTATGCTTCGGTTTTACGATTTCTGAGATCTACGATTGGAGCAAACAAACTCATTGGTTTGTTTTCTTCCTTTCAAGTCTATCTGGAACCTCTTTCAACTGCCTTTACTTCACTGCACTGTTATTGGTTTAAAAAAACCCCAAGTCTCTGTTTACGAAAGCAGAGGCCGTCACAAAAATCAAAACCTCTTATGACTTGCGTGATTGATCGATCGCGGTTTCCCGCACAATTTTCCCGCGCTTGACGCTAGTTACGTGCACTTGTTTAGTTCTCATTGGCTCTTTCTGTCAGGGCCGTAGCTGGTAACAGGCAAACCGAGGCACTTGCCTCAGTCATTGTTTTTCGTTTTGTTTGTTGTTGCTTAAGTCGTCATAAACACCATTAACACCTAGGAAGAGAATTAAACCATGGACATCGCCTCAGTCATAATTTATTCTGGCTACTGCCCTGGTTGTGTTGTTTACAGTTGTGACGATTGGCTAAAGCCTTTAAAATAGTACGGTGAGAAATGTATAGACACAATTAAGCAGAATTTGATTAGAATGGAGTCGCATACCGTAGACTTCATTAGAGGGTGATAAGCCGGTAAGTATTCTCCATTAGAAGCTGCGTCATTTGTCTTAAGGTCTTGATACATTGATGGGTTGGTATAAACTTCTCCTTCGCCCCAGTTTCCCTCGAATGTACCCTTTGCGAGACCCTGGTACGCAGGAGGTTCCCATTGTCCTTGTGCATTTGATTTCCCGTCATACCTCAGGAGTTGGTAAACATTGTCTTGGGTCTGATAAACGTGATTTTCCGGTTTGTCGACTGTAAGAGAGAAATCATAGAGGATGCTGACACTATTACCATCAAGATCTGCAGCAAAGTATAAAATTCGCTTTTATAATGACCATATACCCTATCCCTAGACAATGAAGCAGTATATATATCACAATATCCTGAGCCATTTTTTCTGATCTATTAAGGTAGAAATGTAATAGAAACCCGACAATAACAAAGAACACAACGAGGATAGTTACAACTAAGGAAGATTAAGCTATTAAGATGGATTATTGGACACAAACAGCTGGCCAATGTTTTCAAGATACGATGTCGGTCCCCTAGTTCCTTTAAAACAGAGAGACTTAACTTCTGGTTCAGACTTCTGGTTCAGTCTGTTGCGTATTGTCGGCGGTTTTGGAGCGTGCGCACTAAAAGTAGTTTCTTTTATGTGTGTTTGTTTATACTTGGTCCAGTCCAACCCTTTATAAACACGTCCAAAGCGGTTTCTCGGCATCCCATCCAAGCCTTAGTTAACATCAATAAAGAAGTTTACTTTTTATATTGAACAGACAATACTGACAACATCTTAAAAGAATTCTTTAGAATTATATATGTTGTTTATATATGTGAATTAAGGGGGTCAGCTTTATATGAGGATTAAGGTCTGGCACCCTATTTGCATGTAGATATTTATGTATTTTTTATGCAGATAAAGTTGTTTTATTAGATATATCTTAGGGACAAAAAGATACACTTACTGTGATTGTTACTAACACTGTTGATTATGGCTTTTTTCCTGGCGAAAAAGGAAATTATCAGTTCAAGGAAATATACATTTTCTTTTACTCCCTCAGCCCTTGACACTCATAACCAATCATTCCAGTCTCAAGTCTCAAATTTTTCACTGGAATAATTTCTACTGTTCGATGTCTCAGTGTTTTCGTGGTAAACCTTAGGCGGTGGTAAAAGGGAGAAACGGTTATTTCCGTAGCGTCTGTTTGTCAACTATGAACAAAGAAAAACCACAGCGTCGATGTCATAATTCCAAAAGGAATCTGAACGCAATGTTATAGGCCTGCTGATTAGGAATGGCGTTTGTTTTACCGAAACAACCCGGCTCATCTTGGGAATATTTTCATTTCCATTTATGTCTGTCGGACTTTTTACTTAACAAAACTGAGTGGGCCACTGATAGTAAGCTGACGCACCCTTGTGACATCATGACAACGTCATAACTTTTGAGGCGCTCATTTGCAGTGCTTATAAGACGATTTCCCCTGTACATTCCTCTCTTCAGGTAAAAAAAAAATTATGTTTATACCATATCGTAGAAAATACAGCCAATCAGAATACAGGAAAGCCGTTGTATATTCAACGGTATCACATCTACCCTTCCCATCATGCGCCGCGCGTATGTCGCATTGATTGTGTTGGCCACTGTATTTTCTATGGCGTGGTATAAAATAGTTATGTAACGCTCTCTCGTGGTATACCATGAAATATCCCACTTGCCACTTGTATTTTCTTGGTATACGTGGTGTACACACGCCAAGAGGTCCGCATGTATACCGAGAAAATTCAAGTGACCTGTGTGATATTTCATGGTATACCACTCGAAAGCGTTGCGTAGCAGGTGTGCATACTTACGGTCTTTTCCACTTTCTCAAGAGGTATACTGTCATGAAGGACAAGGCAGCGAGCGCCACAAGCGTACACAGCACGGACACAACGACAACTGTTGTGCTTCTGCTGCTACTATGATCACGTGACGTGTCTAAGATCTTGTCTTTACCAGGGCTGCGCCACTCCGTGGTTGTCATGGTGATTTCGCTGGATTTCTGTTCAGGTTCAGTTTCAGTTAGCGACGTGGTTTCTATCTCTTTTGATGTTGTGTCGCTGAATGGGTTCGTTGTTCTTGTGATTGGTTTCGTTCGTGAATAGATTTCTGTTGTCGATTCTTTCGTTGTCGCTGCTGCTGTTGTCCATAGTTTAGCTGTCACTGGCTTTGTTGTTATTATTGCTATTGTTGTTGTTATTGCTGGTTTTGTTGTTATTTTTGTTGATGGTTTTGTTGTTGCCGGGTTTGCTGTCGTTGTTGGGTTTGTTTTCTCTGACTTTGTTGTTGTTTTTTTCGTTGTTGTAGGTGGCAGTGCTGGCTTTGCTGTCGTTGGTTTTGCGGTTGCTGGTTTCCTTGTTGTTGGTTTTGTGGTCGCTGGTTTTGTTGTTGTTGCCAATGTTTTTGTCTCTTAAGATGGTTGAAACAGAAAATTATTTAATCCCTAACAGCTAACTGTCTTCTTCCATAAACTGTATTTTTGTATACAAGTACATTATATTTATCTCTTGTGCACAGCCTCGAAAACATGATTTCATGGAAGAAGCAATATACATATATAAACGTAACTCTTATAGAGTCTGATTAGCTTATATGACAATATGGTGGCTTCTTTCTTTCATTCACCTTGGCTAACTCAAAAATTTTAAACTTAGTATTTGCTGATAAATGTTCTTAAGTATACCATCGGTATGTTCTGTACTCCAGTGATCTCTGTTTGTTTCTACTTTTGCTTACCTACGTGAGTTCCAGCAGTCTTAAACATGAAGCATGAAGTGAAGTATTTTCCTTTCGACCCTTTCTCTTTGCACGAAACGTTAATAACAACGATATTTCCTGTTAAATGCGACACTGCCGAGTCATTCCACTGCAAATCAACAAACGTGAAAAAAAAAATAAGTAAAAAATAATAGTTTTTTGCTAATTACGCTGGAGGAGGAAAGACTCACGAAAGAGTCTGGTCAGCGAGAAGTAAACAAAGAAGCAAACGAACAAAAACTTATTTCCGTGTTGAGGGATTTAGCATTTTTGCTAACTGGAGACCTGATAAGTTATTTACAATATCAAAATAAGCTAATATGGTTATTACTGTGTTATAAGAAGTCAGCAAAATTTCGTTCAAAAATAGCTAACGTGGATCAAAGTGGCCAAGATCCAATGAGTTAGTGATGGAAATTTCTGGCTATGATGTTCTGGTCTATAAATAACGCACTCACGAAATCAGGAGCCCATTATATGGGCTCCTGACGAAATCTAATGGTCCAAGAACAACATCGGAGAAGAACTCTCCTGCATATGCACTTCTGCTCAGGATCAAATTTTCCCGGGGGGGGGGGTTCCCATATGAAAGGGTCGGGATGCTCGTCGGAAGATTTAAACTAAACCCCTAAAGGAGACCAATCTGAGCGTAGCTCGAGCTTTATTTGATCCTTAAAAGATACCACTTAAAACGAAATAAGCTCGATTACCAGCTGCTGTTCAAGAAAGAAGTCCGCGCTAGTAGACCGCACTCGAAAGAGCGGCGGAAATCGAGCCTAAAACGGAAATAAGTGCGTTTCTTTTAATATTCTTTTATCATTATTTCTTGGAGTGCACCCTAAAACAAACTTCGAATGCTAAAAATAGTGGGGTTTCATTCTAAACACACAAAGTGAGACCAGAATCCTTGATTTAAACTCCTAAGCGAAACGACAAGCATTCCCAACCTTTTCATACAGGAGACCTCTCAAAAAAATTTCACCCTCTCTTTAATCATCCGCATGAACGTTCATTTCCTCTTTAATATGCAATGAATGTAATGAATGTAGCACAACATGTAACTTCTTTACACACTCATAACTTGTATTACATTATTTACCTTTAAATACCTGTCTTTCTTATTTTTTGCAGTCCAAAACCTTTGCTGGAAGCTTGTGAAGTTTCTCCATTGGTCAAACCCCAAGTAACGGGCTGTCTGTATATCGCATCTTTCAGTATCTTTAGGCTTCACGCGGCAAAATTTAATTTTCGGATCGGATGACTTTTGAAAATCGATAAGTGGAGGAGTCCAGTTTTTAGCCTTACAAACATCTTTATCGTGTTTGTCATCTCTATCATCATCATCATCGTCGTCATCGTCACCTCCACCTCCACCTTTTATTTCGAGACGCCCACCACAACCTAACACAGTGACAACCAAGATGGAAATGTTAAAACAAAATCCGATAGAATTTCAGTTTGAAGTGGGCAAAAACCTTGTACCAGAAGTAATTGTAAGTATATTACAGTGATTTTGCATTTTCTAAAAGCTAAAGATATAAATAGTTGCCTGAAATAACACCGTAAACAATTTCCCATGGAAACTTGAGAAAATAACTTTCAAAGTTCAGAGAAATTGTGCAAACACAGGTAAAATTTCATCATCAGTTTTATGTCACCATTTCTTTCAAGTCTTTCATACGGAGTTCTAATTCAAAATTTGTTTTTAGCAGTAGAAATCATTTCTTTTAAATGAGAAGATGTTTAAAACAGTCGAACAGATGTTTGCAATACTAATATAATAACCTTGGTACAAAGTTTTGTACCGAGTCTACTTGTCACTCGAACCTCCGGTGGATTCCTTCTTAATTCTCTTTACTTGTTGGCGTACATATCTTCTGACTTTACTTCTGAGAATTTGGTGTTTCATCAGGGAAATATTCCTTTGTTTATGATTTTCTTTATTCTCAGCACCTGTCTACTTAACAATGCATCGATGCTTTAAAGAGAAATAATATTTTGATAACTTTAAGAGGCTGAATTTGACAAATATATTTTATGTAACTTGAAAAAGTTTGATACACCAATAACTTAATGAATGTCATGTACTCTTTGGGATCTTTTTCAAAAGTCGCCAAATTGTGCTCCGAATCGTAGTTCTGTTTCAAGGGGTCCTGGGGTTGGAGGTTTTAGATGGACTTTTTCCAAGAAAAAATCTGAAAAAAGGTTTATTCAGTTTGAAACCACTAAATTGTCTGAACCCAGGAATGGACCTATGTTAAATATTCCATCATACATTCTGGTTCACGTTAACGGCAAAACCGTCACTAAGACATCAACGATCTTAGACCTAGAAGGTGTAAAAATAGACCGGGGTACCCCCAGAAAACAATAGGTGGGTGGGTGGGTGTGTGCGGCGAGCTTCTTGAAACCCTTGCCTTATTTCACACCAAAACTTGCGATTTTCCCTTCCCTGTTTCAGACCCACCAGACCCAAACTTCGATAGACTATTGCAGAGTGATAATTAAGCCGTTAAGGCAGGTACATGGCTTGCGTAAACATATAGTTTGAGTAGCATCTTCTTAAAACATACCCAATTCAAGACCAGAGTGCCCAAACCCTACCCTCATTTCAGACCAAAACGGTTCAAAAACCATACTCCTTAATTTTTAGAGCCGCACATACCGTACCTTTATAGCTCGGGTAAGGGAGCAGCCCCACCCCCAGGAAAAAATAGTCCCAATCTAACAGGAAATGACAAAGCATACCATTTGGATTACTCCCAAACCAAATAATCCGGTCCACAAATAACCCTGAAAACAATGGATACGCAAATGGTTTTCACGCCTCAAAGGAATAACATTATGCCATTTTTCAAGACTGTCAATTCGTTGTCAATGGATCATAACGTACCGATGTGGTCACATGCTACTGACAGTTAAGCTGAGTTGTCCTGTGTAGATCAACTGTAATTAATTGCAATATTGTAATAAACTGCGCAGTTACTCCTCCGAACACTTTCTATAACATCGAATGCTACCTCGCACCCACCGAGTTCGCTCACCTGAACTCATTATAAACTTTCTATTTCGAGTTCGTCTTCACCTTCAATGGATTAAAGAACAAGAAGTAAACATGTTTTGTGTGATTTTGTTTCATTATACCCACAATGTTGTCTTTTTTTTTGCTCGGTAAGAGAAAGATGAATTTTACGCACTTGATCGCTGATTGAGTCGATGTGGGTGCGAACTCGTTTGGGTGCAAAACCTCTAGCTAATTACCTTCACATCATTGTAGGCAATGAGATTCGAGATTTGACTTTATGTAAGACTTGACCTACCTGTTGACCCGGGTCCAAAAACATCCGAGTTAAGCTCTACAAGATTCACGCATTTTCCCAAGTGAGCCAGATATATCGGGTAATCTTTCTCGCACTGGCACGATCCGCAACAAGTGCTCGAAGACGAACATTTTGCTCTGGTGATAGTCGAATGGAAAGTCTTACAGGAATCAACAAGCGAGGATGACTGACCGCCTGCAAGACAGCGGGACACTGCTGTGTGGTTAGGATTAGTAAACCTGTCGTTGTTTTGCAATCGGGTCACATTCACACTTGAAACAGAGTTCATCTTTCCTGAAAGAAGCACGATAACCACAGCTAGCAGTGGTGTGGTCACCTTCATGATAACTTCTCTTGAGAATTGCAGTTTCACTGTCGTGTTATTAATTTATAGAAACAACTATGTGCGAGGCTCAAGCTTTGAATGAAAACAAGCGATGACCTTTTATAGAGATTACATGAGGTGCTACGCCTTGTCATGCACTAGGAATGATTTCCTAACATGTTAACGTTTTGTCGGTTTTCACTCCCAAGGTAAGATACCTTCCAACGCAAGTGCAAGCTATTTTGAGCGATTTTGTCACGAATACAATGTGTTCCAAAACATCATTTAATTATAAATGACAACCAATCTTGAAAATCTCGTTTGGTTGAATGGGCGCGATCGGACTATAAATATTCCTTGGTCTTAACCATCCTTGTTATTTTTTTTCTTTTATCATTACCTTAATTGGTAGAGCAGTCTTTCTTATGAACAGAATTGGAACAGCGAGGTTTGAACTTCACGTTTCCTGTACTTTTACTCCCAGTTCCCGTCCTTTCTGATGAGCTTCCTGCCATTCTAGCTGCGCCTGGTCCGTTTCAGAATGTTATATAGCATTGCGATTTGTTTCGTCGTATTTATCTCAGTTTCCGCCATCCTGATGAAAAAGTACATGGCGGCCGCAATGTGCTTGCATCCCCCATCTCTACCACCTTTACACTTGCATCGTGCCTGAAGAACGCTGCGTCCGCCCCCTTACATTGAGAGTTTTGCTCGAACTAGTATATTTTTGAGGATCTACCCCTTTTGTATGGTACGATAGGGGGATCTTTGAATATTTCGCTAAGCAATAATCCTGTTTTTAGGAGGACATTTCACAAGAGTAGAGCCGTTAGAGGTGATAGGTCTGCGTGGTTTCCACTGTTATCCTCGTGTAATTTGTAGAGTTTGACACAGTCAGTCTTTCTGTTGATTTGAGACTCGATCGGTTCAGGAAACCCGTCGATTCGCTCTTCAGGTTCGAATTTCTCAGAGGCACCCAACGCCCGTTGGGTGCCCCTGATTTCTGCATGCTTTCCTCATCAGGCCCTCCTCATGAACTCGCCACTGGGCGGTACGTTCTTCTTTAGATTTGCCAGTATGGCGATTAAGCGTCAGTAGGGTTTTAGCTACTGATCGTTCAAGACAAATTTCTTGCTTCTCGCTTTGTCTGCCTCCCGTTCACAAGATGCCTTTCTTTTACGATTCAGTTACGACACCTAGGCACGGTATAAAATATTAATTCAAACGACAAAAAATGTTATAAAAGCACATATTGANGACAACAACTCTCAGACTTTCTAGAAACACATAAAAAATCCGTCACCAAAGTGTATGTGATTAATACACATGGCTGGCAACATCTCTGAGAGTTCCTAATCATTAATTTGGTAATAACTGTTATTAAAGATAGTTTTTCTTAAAAAAAATCTTTCAACTTATCTGAGCTGGTAACCATTGTCTTTTACACTTCTGATATCACATGCAGATTACAAAGAAAGTCACTTTACAATGTTGTCAACATTTCTTTTTTATTAACACACAACAAAACACCGCTGAAACTACTTACAATTAACCTTCTACGTACAAAAAATGAAAATACGAAATAGTATCCAGTTGCCGAGAAATCAAAATCGTTTAGTCACCAACAACAGTTCTTTTCAGAACTACCCTCACCCGGACGATCACACTATACGAACAAAAGTATTCTTGCAGCGTATCGCAAAAAAAGATTGAATTTGACTTCCGTTAAGAACCAGAGCTGGACGAATATTTAACACAACTCTAATCGCTACCTAAGAGGAAACGTGATCCATACAAAGCTATAAAAAATGACCATGTTGTATTTCATCACTTAGGAACTGGACTTCTTAATTTAAAAACGGTTTCCTTCTTTCATCAGCCTTGATTTTTGCGATTACCAACTTCTTCACCATACCATACCCCTTTTGCGATTAAAAAAAGAAATAATTATAACCTTGTGAATTTGGGAGTTTGATCTAGAGTTGTTATTGTTGTTGTTATCATTTCTTTTCACGAACAAAGATAAGAAGTGTAATATTTTAGGATTAAATTGAAGTCCGCGATGATGTCTATCCAAATTCAGCCTTGCAATCATCAAAACACCATCGACTGAAAGTTCAAATTACGTTCTCCTTGTTTGATTTAAAGTACAGTTGTGAACAAGCACGGCAAGAGAGTATTTGCATATATTTGCTTACCTGTTTGTTCAGACTGCATTCAACGAAATCTGAAAATTTTCACACACGTTTTATTTCAGATGTGGATCATGTACGTTGTCGAAGAACATGTACACCCAGTACCAGCCGAAGGACTCTTTCAACATGGAAACTGTGTGCAAATAATGGTGCACAAACATGGGAGGTTTCAGAAGGGACTCTATCATGTTGCTATGAGTTTTAATTAATGTTTTGCATCTCTGTGATATGCAGGAAACTTGTGTTATGTAAACCTCTTAAGCAGGCACGAAGCCACAAGCATTCTAAAGTAAGATTTTTGTCCTTCACGAATAGTCAAGATCGGATGATCAAAGGCCCTGAAAGTTGTCAGTCCCAAAATAAGACGTTTGTGCATTTATTGTGGGTTTTCCCATGCTTTAGCTCTTTACAGATGGAGTTGCCTTTGTGTTCCCTCATAGTATCTCTCTGGGGTCCCTTGCTTTTCCCTCGTCTTCCCCCGTGTGTTCCGCTTTATGATAGAAATATTTTCCCGCCATCGAGGTGCGTAGCCTGAATTTCAGCCGTCTCTTCCCCCTTGGAGGCACGACGCCAAGGAGAAGAGACGGCTGAAATAGGCCTAGCTACAATAATCCCGGAAAATCGCCTAAAATCCATCCGGATAATCTCCAAAAAAGTTCTAAAAATCTCATTTCTTTTTCTAAAAATCTAAAACTTTTAACGAAATATCAAAACATTTTCCAGCAAATCTAGCTCGAGAATGCGTCAAAAAATCCCATCAATGATTAAAATAAACTTAAGGTTAAGTGAATGGTGAAACCGTGGTGCACGAAGCCTTGACTGAGGCCTCTCGTCGCTGTTATATATATAGCTTAACAAACGAATTGGGTTCCTAAATGCGCATATAAAAAATCTCTAAAGATTTTTAANAGACCTAGCTACAATAATCCCGGAAAATCGCCTAAAATCTATCCGGATAGTCTCCAAAAAAGTTCTAAAAAATCTCCAAAAAAGTTCTAAAAATCTCATTTCTTTTTCTAAAAATCTAAACCTTTTAACGAAATATCAAAACATTTTCCAGCAAATCTCGAGAATGCGTCAAAAAATCCCATCAATGATTAAAATAAACTTAAGGTTAAGTAAATGGTGAAACCGTAGTGCACGAAGCCATGACTGAACCCTCTCGTCGCTCTTATATATATAGCTTAACAAACGAATTGGGTTCCTAAATGCGCATATAAAAAATCTCTAAAGATTTTTAACGCATCTTACAGACTTTTTTGGCTCTAAAAACTCTACAATTCCTTGAACTTGCTAAATTCTTCTAAAAAATCTCCAGACTTTCTAAAAATCTTTCAGTGTCTAAGAATCTCCAAACAATCCAGATCCGAATTTTTGTAGCTAGGACCAGCTAGGCCTAGGCTGAAATTCAGACTACGAGGTGCGAGGAAATGAAGCTCTAACTGTTCACAACAAGCAACTGTAAATATTTTGTAATATCACCGGTAGTCATTTACCCCCGCACCGCCTCCCACCCCCGCCCCTTTTGGTACAATTAAAAGAACTTACGAATTAAACCAGGCCTTTGTGATAAACTAACCATCCCCATAACCTCCGGCCGATCTACAAACAAATGGCGTCTATAAGATTCCCTGTGCGGATTGTTCATGGAACCATATAGGTGAAAGTCGAAGGTGTTTACAAACAAGGAAAAAAGAACATATTAGGAAAACGAAAACCTATAAAAAAGGTTCAAACATTCAAACTGGCAATCGAAAGCTCAATTTTCTCAAAACTATTTTANCTTACGAATTAAACCAGGCCTTTGTGATAAACTAACCATCCCCATAACCTCCGGCCGATCTACAAACAAATGGCGTCTATAAGATTCCCTGTGCGGATTGTTCATGGAACTATATAGGTGAAAGTCGAAGTCGAGCCAAAAGTCTGTAAGATGCTTCGATAGATCATGCAGATAACAATTCTAGACCGCTCCCCAATCAGTACTCTATTCTTTTAAAAAAGAACAATTAGTTTATTAACACTTATATTTTTCCATTTTAATATATTCTGTTTATAGTTCCACCTATTTTTGTATATATTTGTAGTTGTTATCTTTTCCATTTTTTATCCATCGAAGGCGGTAGTCTGGCAGCGGAAAGCTCTGAAAGTTTTAACTTTATATAGTCAGTGAACGTTTTTTTATAAAATTTTTAATTAGAAAGTCGAAGGTGTTTACAAACAAGGAAAAAAGAACATATTCGGAAAACGAAAACCTATAAAAACGGTTCAAATATTGCCACTCACACATGGTTGAATAGCCACTCTATTGACTTAAATAACGTCCATGTAACTGACAAGGGAAATTTTCGCGTGAGGAAGACTTTGAATCATTACCTAGACAATATTCTGTTCTTTTATGAACCCCATATTTGCATTTCATTTCCTTGCAAGCATCTTTTTGTTCTTATTGTAATTTTTTCTACTTCACACTTTTTACCGTATATATTTCAACGATCGCGCTTTTTATTCACTATTCGTCAAAGATTGCAGACTGGCAATCGAAAGCTCAATTTTCTCAAAACTATTTTAACCAAAGAACGTTTCTAAATTTTAATTACGAATGATTAACGTTGAAGCTTGCGCATGCGTCGAGCTGTGAAACCGTCCCTTAAACAATCGCCTCCACTCTACCGGGGTATGATCGGGTGGTACTGGGTGAAAATACAAATTAACGACAAAGGATTCACGTCAAACAAAGCGAATAATTTAACTTCATTAAATTATCATAAAACACATCTGAGCGATTTCGTAAAAACCAGCCCGCTAGGTTTCCGCCTGCAGCTGGGTTCGGGCGAACCCAGGCCTAGCCAGCGGCTCTAAACCCAGGGTAGGCGGGCTGGGGAGATGGCCCAGGTACTGGCCTATCTGCTGGTGGTTTGCTGGCAGTCAGCTGTCAAAAGCAGGGGGCAGGGTATTATTTACTGACACCTTCACTTAGCTAGACTTTGAGTTTTCAGTGCCAAATAACCTTGATATTGACTGTGTGACTGGGCCTTTTGCCCAGTTGTTGAACCTTATGTAAGGGTTCTCTGTTGACATGGCACCCTTGCATAAAGGCCCATGCCACGTGCATTCTAGCCAGGGGAGAGCCAGACCACTTCTAGCCGCTGGGACTGTGACTTTGAGCTGTCTGTGGGCATGTTTCTGCGAATATGGTAAGATATATTTGTACAAAGTTAACCTATTCTATCGACATATTGTCATATGAACTGCTCCTTTATTTGTGAGGAATGGACACTTGCGAAACTCAAACCCTCTAGGTGTCTCGAAAACTCAGACCTGAAAAACTCAGACCCTCTGGGTGTTTCGAAAACTCAGACCGTCAATACTTAGACCCTTGGAGTGTCTTGAAAACTCAGACCTGAAAATGTCAGACCCATTGGGTGTAATGACTAATGTCGAAAACTCAGACTTGAAAAACTCAGACCCTCTGGGTGTCTCGAGAACCTAAACTTAAAATCTCGGACCCTGACTGGCTATCTCAAAACTCAGACAGTAAAATCTCAGACCCTCTGGGTGTCTTGAAGACTCAGACTTGAAAACCTCAGACCCTCTGGGTGTCTCGAGAACCCAGACTTAAAATCTCGGACCCTGACTGGCTATCTCAAAAACTCAGACCCTAAAATCTCCGACCCTCTGGGTGTCTCGAAAACTCAGACTTGAAAAACTCAGACCCTCTGGGTGTCTTGAGAACCCAGACTTAAAGTCTCGGACCCTGACTGGCTATCTCAAAAACTCAGACCCTAAAATCTCTGACCCTCTGGGTGTCTTGAAAACTCAGACTTGAAAAACTCAAACCCTCTGGGTGTCTTGAAAACTCAGACTTGAAAACCTGACCCTCTGGGTGTGATCTTGATAACTAAGACCCATAAAACTCAGACCCTCTGGGTGTCTCGAAAACTCACACCTGAAAACCCAACCCTCTGGGTGTGATCTCGATAACTGAAACCTGAAAAACTTAAACCCTCTGGGCATCTCTAAAACTTACACTTCAAAAACTCAAACACTCTGGT